CAGGTTCATGCAGCAAAGGCCTTCGAATTCCTCGCATTTATGATTGTGAAGCAACAATAGAAAATCTATTGCTGCTCTATTCTGCAAGGTCGCCTGCCGTGTCATTTTCTCATCATATAGGAGGTCGGAAAGGGCGGCTGAGGTAAAATTGGCTTGTTTCTCCACCCAACACTCTAGGCGGGCCAATTCGCCTAGAGACTTTGCGATAGACACCCACGGCAAAAAGAGGGTGAGTGCTACGATTTTTGGCTTAGCCCAATGCTCAACGACTGAGTCACAGTCTGGGTCAAGATCTTTTAGGTCTCTTTTTGCGCGGGCCGAATCAGAGGTCGAATTCAGGCTGAGACTCTTGTTTCTCCAATCATAAATTTGAGTAATGTTGGGGGTCAACAGCGACAGCCGACCAAATGCGCAAGGGCCTCCTATGTGGTGAGAGGGGATGCCTGCCCAAGCTCAGTCTCCGCAAATGAAAAAAATGCCCCGGGGGAGGGCCATCGGCTTCCCGCCCGGGGTGGAAGAGAGTGGAACCTTAATGGGTTTCTTGCACCACCGGGCGGCCTGATACCTAGGATCGGACGGGTTCAGGACCGTGTACCCTTTCTCTCCAGGACGGGGGGTAAATCGAAACTGAATGCAAACAGGGGCAGCTGCGGAGCCGAGCAAATGGAGCTCTTGGGGTTCGGAGTCTAAAGGGACAAGGCCTCGGACTCCGTCTCTCCAGGCGCTCCAGAAGGTTGCGATAGCTTCGCGGGTGGTGGACAACGAAAAGGCATAATTAAAAGGAGGGGGTAACTCTGAGGGGGGGAGAGGGATCCCCACAAGGCAAGACGACATCGGGTCCTTTGCTGCGCCGGTGTCTACGCAGAGGTGATCTTGTCCTAGGGCCTCAGCAAGAGTTCGCCAGACGTTTGCCTTGGGCTGGGGGACGATCCACGCGTTGATGGCAAGCTGCGTGGACCACAGGGTGGTGGTAAACAGGAGAAGGCCGGTCAGGGTTGGTGCCATGTCTAAACGAAACTGAAAAATACAGTGTTAGAAACATTAGGAACTCAAGGGTCGGACAGATCTGCATTGAACAGGCAGCAAATTTCTGGGATAACATGAGGAAAGTCAGGGGGCCTCTTCTTCCGCCTCCAGTGAGCGACTTGGACTTGGCTGACGGTTGCCTTGTGCTTCGTTCCTTTGGGTACATAAGGCCGTACCCATTTTGAGGGGACCCACTTCGGGCCTGAGGGAGTGGAAACGCAAGTGTAACCTCTCCCCCAGGTCACAAGATCAAATGGTCCCTCCGTCTTCCAGGTCTCCGGATCCTTGACGAGGACCGGAGGCCTGGATTCAGGCTGCAGTTGATTGTGTTTTCCGAAGTGCCGTACCATTGGAGGATTGAGGTTCTCGAACGAGCAGTTCAGGAAATTAAGCGTGAACATTGCTCGTGCGAGACGGATGTGGGGAGGCTCTACCTTCATCGCCATTTTCTGATGTTCGAGAACCTTTTTCAGGCTCTGGTGGGCCCTCTCCACCATGGCTTGGCCTGTCGGGGAATAGGGGATGCCTGTTTTATGTTCTATTCCCCATTGTTGCAGGAACTGGCGCAATTCCTTGGACGTGTACGCTGGCCCGTTGTCTGTTTTGATGAGTTTGGGGATGCCCAGGACAGCGAATGCCTGAAGCAGATGCTTCATGCAATCAGCCGCCCTCTCACCTGTGTGGGCGGAAGCATAGATAGCGCCGGAAAAGGTGTCGATAGAAACATGCACAAAGCTCAACCGGCCAAATGCAGGGATATGCGTGACATCTGTTTGCCACACTTCGCAGCTTGACAGCCCTCTAGGGTTTGTCCCCAGGCTCATAGATGGCATCTGGTGGGACTGACACTGGGGACATGTCGCCACAATCGCCCTGGCCTGTTCGCGTGTGAGGTGGAACTGGCGAACCAGACCAGGAGCGTTCTGGTGGAATCGCTGGTGACTAAGTTTGGCCTGTCCGAAAAGATCAGGGAGCGGGGCCACCTGAACAGGAGAGGCAAGGGCGTCTGCACGCCTGTTGCCTTCCGCAATGAACCCTGGCAAATCAGTGTGAGACCGGACATGCATCACGTAGAAGGGTTGCTCTCGGTGGGAGACTAGTTTGACAAGCTTCGAGAGCAATTCAAAAAGTCGGATGTTTGAGACGTCTTGAAGGATAGCACTCTCTGCTCTGGACACTACACCGGCTACGTATGCCGAATCTGTGACCAAATTAAAAGGCTCCGAGAACTTCTCAAATGCCCTAACGACAGCATCCAACTCGGCTACTTGTGGCGAACCTTCTACCACGGCAATGTCTGCCTCCCACTGTCGAGTTTGAGGATTCCGCCAAGTCACTACTGACTTGTGGGATGCTCCGGATGCGTCTGTAAAAACAGTTAGGGCATCGAGCGGGACTCTGCTCTGAATAGATTTGAGTGTTAACGTAAATTCTTGGTTGAATAATTTGTGGGCCGGCCGATTGACAGAAATTTGGCCGGTGTAACTATCCAGAGCTAACTGAAGCATTTCGTTGGTTTCGAAGACATTCTCAAACATCCTCATTTTGAGGTGGCCCGATTCGAATTTAATAGGGACGTGAATGCATTCCAAGTCCACACCTGCCAGCTCCCTGATCCGCGATCTCGCTTTCCGGATCAGGTCTGCCACCAGCTCAAGTGGCTGTGTCATTCTTTTGGGCCGGTGATGGCTGAGGAACACCCACTCTATGATTAAGAGGGGGTCCTCTGAGCTCTGGCCCTTACTTTTCCTGATGTTATTGTCCCACTGAAAAAGCAACCCGTGGAGGTGTGGCAACTTCCCCAGGACGATAAAACGAAAGGGCAGGCCCGGTTGGTAACGGTGGGCCTGTCTGGCTGCAATTGAGCTTTGGATCTTTTCCAGCGCTGCCTGGGCTTCCGGGGTAAGGGCCCTGGGAGAACAGAGCTCCTCTCCCCCTTTCAACAAATTGAAAAGGGGGGCTAGGTCTTCAGTTGGAATTCCCAGCCAGGGTCTTACCCAGTTCAAAGACCCACACAGCTGATGGACATCAGCCAAACTCTTGATGTTTGTTCTGATTGCCAATTTTTGAGGAACAATGGTCCTCTTTGTGATTTCAAGGCCAAGGTACTTCCAAGGCGGCATCCGTTGAATTTTGTCTTGCGCCAATTCAAATCCTGCAGCAATCAACGCATTGGTTGTCAGGTCAAGAGCATGGGCTAGCAAGTCATCGGTCGGCGCACAAATCAAAATGTCATCCATGTAATGATGGATGATGACGTCCCCCACTGCTGCACGGATCGGGGACAACAGGGAAGCGACATACCACTGGCAGATCACAGGGCTGCATTTCATGCCTTGAGGAAGAACTGTCCAGTGGTAGCACTTGCCTGGGGCTTCACGATTGATGGAGGGAACCGTGAAGGCAAAACGCGGTGCATCTTCCGGGTGTAGGGGAATCTGGAAAAAGCAGTCTTTTATATCAACAACGGCCAGATTCCAATTTCGGGGGAGCATTGCTGGGGAGGGCATCCCTGGTTGAAGAGACCCCATGTCTTTTATGATGGCATTAATTTGCCTGAGGTCGTGCAAGAGTCGCCACTTATCTTTGTTAGGCTTTTTGATAACAAAAACTGGGGAGTTCCAGGGCGACATGGACTCTACCAAATGACCTTTTTGCACTTGTTCTTGCACGAGCTCGTTGAGCGCCGCTAATTTTTGTTTATTGAGCGGCCACTGCGCCACCTGGACTGGTGTATCTGACTGCCAATTCAATTTCCAGGTGGGGCGCTCTTCAGTGGCCGCTGCCCGAAAAACCTGGGGAGCTGCTGGTAGGTCAATTTTGGCTCCCCACTGGGCCAAGAGGTCTCTTCCCCACAGGGGCTCTGTATAATCTAAAACGAATGGACGGACGGAAGCCAATTGTCCGTCTGGCCCCGTAATTTGCACAACGCTCCTTGATTGTCTAGCTAATTGAAGGCCCCCTACACCACGAATCCGCCCTGGAACGTTTTGCAGATCCCAATGCGATGGCCATTCCCAAGAGGGAATGACTGTGACATCTGCCCCTGTGTCTAAAAGGCCGTACATTGCGACTTTCTCCCCTCCTTTGGAAAGCATACACATAACTTTGGGTTTTTCTTGTCCAAGGGCTTGGGCCCAGGCTACCGAATGTTGCTGTAGTAAATTGTGTTGAGCTCTCAGTGAAGATGTGGTGGTTGGGTTCTGCTCTGCCACACGAATGGCTTGAGCGATGATTTGCCCCTTGGGCAGGAAGAGAGGAGGACAGACACAGTGCAGCAGGAGTGAGAATTGTTCCAGGCCAGCCGGTAGCAGACCTGGGACAATACTCACCCCTGGTGGGGTCGTCTTTGTGTCACCAAACACGACAAACTTACAGCTCACCCGCTCCCAATCCTCCGGGCACTCAGGAAGCACGGTCACTTGGTGGAATTCTGCAGAGCGGAGATGGATCGGCTCTGCGAGCTGCAACCTGCAGGACGAAACACAAGACAAGGTAGTTAAAGATGGCTGAGATTGGTAGAATGTCAAGTCCGGTAAATGGTCAAAGTCGGTGGATGGAGGCTGGCTCCCTTCATCCTCCCCCCTCCCTCCAGATGTCAAAGCACCAAGGACTGCCTCCTGATTTCTGTCTTGGCGCAGGGGGGCACTGCGCTGCCATATCAGTTTTTTTGAGGTGCCCTTCCTGGGGCTCCCTGTTGCTGCCTTTTAAATTCGTAGAATTGTTTTCTCAATGGGCACTGGGGCATCCAGTGCCCAACCTTGCCACATAAGTGGCAAGGCGCAGCGGGTGGAGCGGAAACAGGGGTAGGTGGTTGTTCTGTCCCTTGGAGGGCTGGGCAGCACTCGGCAGATGGACCGGCTTCTTCCGCGGCGGCGGCAGCTTGTGGAGATGGCGGCTTTGGATGACGAATGACTGTGGGTGGTGCACTGGCAGCTGACGGAACGAGGACCTTTTTCCTGCACACTTCGAGCATGTCGCGGAGAGTGCGAGGCGGCTCCAGGGGGAGGCTATTGATGGCTTCGCGGCAGGCTGGGTTAGCGTTCAGAAACGCTACTTGCTTCAGCACTTCAGACTGCACGCTCTCGCCTTCCACTTGACTGTTGACTGAACGTCGGAGCCGCTCTACAAACTCAAGGAAAGGTTCCTCTGCGCCCTGCAAAACTCGAGTATACGGAATTTGAGGCGCTGCCGCCCGCAACTCCAAGAAAGCTTTTTCAGCTGCCTTGGCAGTCTGCTGTAGCGCCTCTATTGGGATGGTCCTTGCTTGAATGTGACCATCGGCCCAGTCTCCGGTTCCTAAAAGGTGGTCAATGGAAAGCACTTCTCCCTCAGTGCTAAGGCGGGAGTTCGGGCTATTCCATAGGGATGGGAGCACTCTTAGGACTTCTTTTCTCCATGCCCCCTCCCAGAGCACTTGCTCCGAGGTGTTGAGGAGGCAGGAGAAAACTCTACGGAGATCGGCTGGTGTGATTACCGACTCCGAGAGGACGGCCTGAAGGAGTCCCCGAAAATATTCGGAGTCTCGCCCGAACTCTTTTTGGGCTTTACACAACTCTTTCATAGAAGAGTGGGAGAAGGGGACCCACTGCGCCAGCGTCACGCCTTCCCCCACTGGGTGAAACGCAACCGGGGCGGCTGATGGGATGGCAGCCGGTCCCAGCTTCCGGATTCCCACGCTCTCCCCCCCTCCCAAATCGTGGGAAACGGAAGAGGAGGCGTGAGAACCGGAAGCGGAGGAGGCGGAGGCGTGGCGTGAGAGCTGGGTGGGAGGATCTACAGCAGAGTGTCTTGCCCCTTGGGAGGAGCTTGCCGGCCCCAAAAGGAAATCTGGAGGTGGTGGGAAATGAGGAGAAGGGGGCGGAGTCGGGGGAGGAGATGGAGGAGGAGGAGGAGGAGAAGGGGCTGGACGGGGCGGAGTAGGGGAAGGGCAGGATCTGGGGATGGAGCAAGAGGGATGATGGGAAGAAGAAGGGAGTTTTCCCGCCTGAACCACACAGTCTCCGCCATCTTGTGACTTAAAGTCGCCATTTTGATGAGGAGACTGAAACTGAACTTTGGGTTTTGTAACTGGGGTGGTGGAAGTAGGAGCGAGGGGTATAGGATCAGGCTCTCTGAGAGACTGGCCAGGTCTCACAGGGCAAGGGGACTGAGCCGAGGGGAAACCCAGGGAATGGTGGACACCTGGCGCGGGGCTGACGCGGTCTGCTTTCCCCCGGGACTCAGTACGGGAAGGAGGGCGACAGGGACGAGGGATAGGAACAGAGGGTCGGGGAGAACTGGGGCACGAACGGGGGTTTGGTGGCTGCTTCGAGGGATCAGATTTTTGTCTCAGAGCTTGAAGGAGAAGTGAAATCCAATAGAAATGTTTTTCAAAGGAACGTTCTCCAGTCTGGATATTTCTCTGCAGTCTATGCTGCACTTTCTTTAGGAAAGCAGGGTCCAGAACTGAGGCAGGAGAAACGTCAGGGAAGTTCGAAAACAGCCACTGAATTAAACTCTTAATTTCTTTCTTATTAACCTTGACTTTCCCTCCCCCCAGGGATCCCACAACTTGGTAATAGACTCCCTTCTGGGATGCAGACAATTTCGCACCCATCCCTCGGAGATGTTAACTGGGGAGGTCTGCAACCCAACTCAACCCAAACGTTGCAGGAAAGCGTTAAAGAAACTGAAAGTAAAAGGTAGAAAAGGGGGTCCCAATCCGGCCCTTACCCCAAAAGAGAGAAATAGAAAAGCAAGAAATCGGAATGAAACCGAGAGGGGTAAGGTGGTGACACCGAAAACGGCCACAAGAAACTCACCCTGTCGGCGGGACGAACCAAAACTGCAACGCAGGGGAGGCTCTGCACGCAGGACAGTCTCTCTGGATGCTGGAGAGGGCGCTGTCCTTATCTCCTAGGAGCACCACTCTCTAAAACAAGAGCGTGCTACACTGAGGAGTGGCTTGTCGCTCAATAGGATTTGTAATCCAAATACGAAAGGCGGTCAGATACAGGTCCAGATCACAGTCCTCTGGGACGATCCCAGGCGATCACAGCAGACGCGTCCAGACGCTGCTTTTGGCCGCCCCACGTTGGGCACCAAGCCTGCGGCTGCGCTGATTGCAAGAGACCCGGCTGCTCACAGCCCAGCACGCAGTCTGGGTGCTTGCCCGACTCGGAGTCGGGTCCGCACCTGTGGGTCACAGCCTCACAAGAGAGCGATAGCCACGAAGCGCGCAGAGACGAAGAGAGGACTCAGGCAGTGAAGGGAGAAACGTTGGATTTATTGACCAACAAATGGGAGAACTGAGGGAAGCTACAGGGAGCAAGGTAGGGGGAAGCTGCCTGAGCGAGGAGCAACTGGGATGTAACAACTTATAAAGGCAGGGGGTGGGGATGGGTGTAAACTTCCAACAACAAATCCGGACACAGAAACTTGGATACATACTAAAAGTGACAGAACAGGTTAACAAATCAAGGAAAAATTGAGGAGGGGCCCCAGCCCCTGACCAATCACCCGACGCCTTGGAGAGAAGAGCCTAGAAGAAGAGGATGGGTCGCCGGGTGACGGACAAGGGGACTGGGGAGGGGAAAACTTGGATACATGAAAGAAACCATAGCAACACAGGAGGGGCGAAAGGATTGACATAAAACTGCTCGAAGCAGGGGAATTCCAAGACAAAACCATTAATACTTAGGATGGGGGGGCTGGAGTGAACCAAGAACAAGACACCACAGAATCCCATTTGAAGCTCTTCTGACATTCCAAGCACTCATACAGGGCCATTCCCCAGTGTGGATCTTGTGGTGCTTGCTCAGGTCGGAGGTCCCACTGAAGCTCTTCCCACATTCCCCATACTCCCAGGGCCTCTCCCCAGTGTGGATGTTCAGGTGTTCCATCAGGGTGGAGCTGTAGCTGAAACCCTGCCCACATTCCAAGCATTTGTGGGGCTTCTCCCTGCCATGAGGCTTCTCCACCAGCTCTGAGCTCTGGCTGGATCTCCGGCCACCTTCCTAGCTCAGGGGGGCTCTTTCCTCCCTGCAGCTCCCTGGGCTGGGTTTGCAGCCTCTCCTCATGCGGAATGTCTGGGGCTTTTCCTCCTCCTCCATCTGGCCACAGCTTGGGAATGACAGACCCTGGTTTGGGGAAACCAATGTGGGAGCACCTTGGAGTAGAGGCTCCTCCTGGCCAGGTCCATCTCTAGAAGTCAGCAGGAGTCTTGTGTCCATGAAAATCCCCACAATGTCAAGATTCAGCCCCAAAAAACTCTCCCAGCAGTTCCCTATTGCTGATCTCCCCACTTTTGGGGTTCAAGAGGTTTCCTTTCCTTAGGATCATGGGGGTCCAATGGTTCCAGGGCTTCTCCATTCTCTGGCGTCCTGCTCAGGGATGATCCAGGGCCTTTTGGGGGTCCATGGGGGCCCTTCTCCCCTGATGCTCTACTCTGAGATCCCAGGGGTCCCAGGGGTCCCTCCTCTCCAGGCTCCCCCCCTTTCCAGTCTGCCGGGGTCCCCCAGCTCTGGGATCGCCCCTCTCTGCTCTCCCCACTCTGGGGGTCCCAGGGGTTCCCCTCCTCTGCTCTCCCGGCAGTCCCCAGGACCAATGTCCTCCCCTGCCCATACTGGGCAATGGCCACGTGGGCCCCCAAAGATCCCCCCCAAGGGGCTCAGCTTTGGGGTCCTGCAAGATCCAAACCTACACACACAGAGAAAACAAAACCTCCCAGAGACACCAGATGATATTTGGGGTCAATTCCACAATCTGCAAGCTCCAAACACACCCCAATAAAAAACCCTCTCAGGGACCCCCCGATAGATTTGGGACGAGCTCCCCCTCCCCACTGAGCTGCAAGACGAGCTGGGGGCGATGGTCCCGTGGCTGCGGCCACAGGGGGCACTGGAACCTCCTGTTCCTCCTGTTCCTGCTCCTGCTCCTCCTTTTCCTCTCTCCCTCCTCCTCCTCCTCCTTCCTAATCCCACCTCCTCCCCAGTTCCTGCCTTCTCTGTATTTAGAGTGGAGGACCTTGCTTGTTTTTAGAACTAGAACAAAGATCCCAGATGGAACAAGGCTTGCTGCTTTTAGTCAGAACTATCAGTGACTAAAGGTCACGTTTCCTTTGCTTTGGTCCTGTCCTTGTTCTCCTCAGTGTTCAGGCTGGGCTATGGGGTGTCCTTGTTTGCTGCATTTTCTGAGTTCCTCTTGCATCCTTTGGGCCATGGGCTGTGCCCTGGGAGGGTTCTTTGTGCTCCTTTGTGACACAGGAGAACCTTCCAGGCAGTTTCTGCGTGAGCTGCTGCTGGGATGTCACAGGAACAGCGCCACGTCCCCGTGGTGTTCCCGTTGCTGTGGGACACGGAGGCCTCAGTGCCCAGAGTGGCTCTGGGCTCGCTGCCGGAGGATCCTCCTGCCCGAGGCATTCTCAGCAGCCAGCCCAGCCCTGTCCTTCTGTGCTTGCAGGGCTACAGGCTGCAGGCGTGTGCAGCGCAGCCAAAATGATCCAGCACGTGGCTGCTGCAGTTTGCACTCTGTACTCTGTGGCTTATTCGGGGTATTTTTTAACCCACTTGGCACGTAAGTTGAGGTTTTCCCTCGGTGCAGCATCTGTGGCTTTGGGCTTGCTGTGTGCTTTCTGTTCTTCCTCTGGAGCTGAGTTGACTTTGGAATCAAATTGCCATGAAGACACCATTGCTTTGGGAGAGCTCCTGCCAGCAGCTGCAGCTGAAAAAGGGGGTGTCTGCAGCCAGCGGGGCATGCACAGCATCTGCAATGAGCCCTGGGGGGTTCTGTTCCCTCAAGCAGGGAGTCTGTGCCAGTTCCATCTGAGCCTGGAACTGCCTCCGTTTGCTGCTCAAGCCAAGAACTGACCCAGCCCAGTGTTTTGTGCTTGTTCTCTTGCTTGCTGTGGGAAGGGACTGTGGCTCCTGGAGGGATGCTGTGAAAGTAAAATGCTCTCTTGGGGTTGCCTTGCTCCGTGGCATTTCCCACCACTGGCAGTTTTTCTCCTAACAGCATCTGGTTCATGTTCCCTCTCCCATTGCAGGGCACCTCATGTCTGCATTCCGAGCAGCTCCTCCTTCGGTGAGTGGGAAAGGAACCTTTGGTGTTTGGAATTGTGCAGCAAGTTGTGAGCTCGGCATGTGGCAGTCGAGGGCCAGTCTGGGAGGCTGAAGGAAAGGTCCTGTCAGTGTCTTTGCAGCAGCAGCAGCAGCAAAGGAATTCCCATCAGTTTTCTCCTTTTCTGCTGAAGAGTTTTTGAAGAGCTGCAGGTCTGGTTTTGCAGGCAGAGGATTGCTTGCTGGCTTTAGCCATGGTGGAATATCGAATTCCCAACAATAAGTGGCAATGTCGACTGTAGCCCATTGTTAGTTGGAACAGCTCCAAACCAAATTTCTGCATAGTGCAGCTGGATGTGCAGCTGAGGATAAATAAGGTGATAACTGAGATAGAACTTCCTGTCCCTCACGCTGCCGTCTGTCCACAGGGCACAGAAGCAGCACCAGCACCTCCTGGGGCTCCCTCTGCTTCCAAAGAGGAGGCCCAAGAGGAGGAAGACAGCAGTGAGCTTCCCGCTGCTCTGGGGGACGATGGTGAACTTCCCTCAGCGCCGGGAGATGACAGTGAACTTCCCGCTGCTCTGGGAGACGAGGGCGAACATCCCGCGGGGTGGGAATGCAACGGCGAGGCTCCCGCGGGGTGGGACAAGGACAGGGGACATCTCCCGGCCTGGGACGAGGACGGTGGATGTCCCCTGGTGTGGGACCAGAGTGGCCAAGCTCCCACAGAGTGGGATGAGGACAATGGACATCTCCCAGTGTGGGATGAGGATGGAGGATACCCTGTGGCTTGGGAAGAGGAGAGTGAACATCTCCCAGCATGGGAAGTGGACAGCAAACATCCCCAGGCTTGGAAAGAGGATGGCGAACCTCCAGCATTTTGGGAAGAGGATGGAGAAGCTGCAGCATTTTGGGAAGAGGATGGAGAAGCTGCAGCATTTTCGGAAGAGGATGGAGAAGCTCCCTCTGCTTGGGAAGAGGACAATGAACCTCCCTCTGCTGTGGGATCCTGGGCTGAACATTCTGACAGCAGCACAGCCGGGCAGCCAGAGGGGAGAGGGGAGTGGTGCCTGATGCAGCTGAGTACGTCTGCTCTGTTCCTGGGTGCCCGAGCAGGTGCTGTGTGTGTGTCTGGGCATCAGCTGCACCCAGTGTTGCTCTGCAGCTGAATGTCACCGAGCCATTTATTGTCCTTCCCCAGCTGACACCAAGGGGCTCACGGCCCCAGGGAGTGGGGCTGCTTCTGGCTCTGCTGCAAGGCAGGGTCTCACTCTGGGAGGGAGCGTCTTCCACGTGGTTTCTTTCAGGGAACACCGTGAGCGAGGCGGAGCCTGCCGAGAAATACCTGGAACTGGAGCAGATTGGCCAAGGGTAAGTGCACGGCAGCTACTGCTGCACAAGCAGGGCCGGGTGTTGTGCTGGTGCAGGATCAAGTGAGAAGTCAGGAGAGCTCCAAGCAGCTTCAGACACTGGGCTACCATCCTGCTGTCTCTCAGTCCTGATCAGAATTGATAACTGTGGTCAGAAGGTGCCGTCAAAGGCCCCTGAGGCTGGCAGTGTCCTGCCTGCAGCAAGGAGCAGGACCTGGAAGATCTTCTGTCCCTGGAACTGGATTGCCTAAAAGGGCAACTCACCATGTGGTGACTGTCAGAAAACAGTTCTCAAGAAGATTTCTTTCAAATATTTTCCTTCAAAAAATATCCACTGGTCAGGGTTATCAACCTAATGGTTTAGAAACAGAAACCAGAGATGAACTAATAAGTGCTCTATTCTAGCACAGGTAGCAGACCCCATCCATTCAGTAACAGACACAGAGCTGATGCACTCTGGGGGAAAAAGCATCACCTGCCGGATGGCAGGGCCCTTGTGGAACCTGCAGGTCTTAGGCAGGAAGTGGAAAAGCATGAAATGCATTCTTTTCCAGTTCTTTAGACACCCATTTATCCTCCTAGCTTTGGAACTAAAGCAATTCAGGGTGGATATTTGGGATTTGCTCCAGCCCAATTCCTTCATGTTGGGTCTTAGTTTTCTCCTGCACACCTTGCATGGCAGAGGGCTGGTGGCTGCTGTGCTGTTGTTGGAAGGGTCGATGCAGCCAGGTGTTTGTGAACGCTGCAGGCAGCAGAGATCTCCTGTCTGGGCTGGCTTTCCCTGCCAGGGCTTAAAGCGCTGCTTCTTTCTTCTCTGCTGTTTTGTCTCCAGGGCTTTTGGAACCGTTTATAAAGGACTCGACAGGGCCACTGGAGGAGAGGTCAGTGCCAACACGCCCAGCACGCCTGGCAGCTCTCCAGGGCTTTCCCCTCTGCTGGGAGCTGTGGCTGCAGCTTTGGGGGCCAGCAGAGCTTTCCTGCCCAGGCTGCTCCTCTGAAGGCAGAGCAGTGTCAGCCTGCAGAGCACAGCTGGGACAGACTTGGTCCTTCTGAAGCACCAAAGGAATGCAAGGAGGGCAGTGGTGTCTGTCAGAGCAGGACACGCTGGCTTGGCCTTCATATCTAAAAGTGTGAATGCATCAGCTGCTGGAGACTGAGGCCCAATTTATCTTCATCCCAACCTTAGACAGGAACATTATTTAGCTATTCTTAGCTAAACTATAACAATATTATTTCCATCCTGCCTTTTATCTTCAAAGGATACCTCAAGGCCTAATTAGGGAGAGATCCTGCTTGGGCTCAATTTGGGTTTTAGTCCTACTTCAGCTGTTCACAGAGAGAGAGGGAGAGAAATGAGAAGATGGATGTCCAGAGCAAAGGTTTCTCCTAAACCCTGAAGTTGTGTTTGGTCTGGTGTCAGTGACAGCCTGTGACAGGGATCACCTGAGCAATGGGTGTGCGTGTCTGCTTTGTTGTGCAATCCCAAACAGAGCAGTTGCATCTGAAATCATGACCAAATCCCATAGAATTGCTAAGGGGTTCCTGGCTGTTTTGCTCTGTTTTCAGAGAACCAGAATTACCTCCTGCTTGCAAAATGGGTTTGAATAATAATAATAAGAGTGTTGAGGCCATTTGAGAAGACTGTAGGTGCAGAGAATGTTGTTAGAGCTTTGAGGCTGACAGCTGAGGGACCATTTCTGCAGAGCTTGCAGGGCCAAATGTCTCTGGCCATGTGTCCTGTAAGCAGCCCCCAGCTGGCAGAGCAATGGGCTGTGGGAATGGCCCTTGCTGAGCTCTGGTGTCCCATCCCAAGGCAGTTTGGCACAGCCCGGCTCTGTCGCTCCACAAAGACTCGCTCCGTGTTTGCTGTGGCCTCCTGCCACAGACTCCTCCAGTTCAAGGCTGCAATGTCCCTTCAGGTGGCCATCAAGAAAATGAGTCTCAGAGGGCAGAACAGGGAACGAGCTGTGAATGAGATCCTGCTCCTGAAGGACAAGAAGAACCCCAACATTGTCAACTCTTTGGACAGGTGAGTGCTTCAGCTCTGATCCCGAGCCCGGGCCCTGCGTTAACCTTTCCTGGCATCAGGAGTCTGTAGCCTGTTTTGAAAATGCCTGACCCAGCCACATCTTCCCAAACCAACAGCCTGGCAGTTCACTCCTTCCATGTGCTTTGGTTGCTTTGCTTTGGTTTTCCTTCAAGTTGACCCCGTTTGCTGTGTCTCCCAGCAAGTGCTGATAAACCACAGCAGAAATTATTTCCCTTGGCTTCTTCTTCCCAGCCCTTTTCCATTGCTAAAAATGCCAGTAAGACCAAGTTCTTGTTTCCAGAAATGACTCATTTGCCCATTTTTCACTGGCCTTGCCTGTTTCTGAAGGGACTTTCTGAAAGGTTTTCTGACTGCTTTTGTCCCAAGTGCTGCACGGCCTCCTCCCCTGGATAACCCTTGCAGTTGTGTTGCCTTGTTCTGGAGGGAATGGTGGAACTGATGAGTTCAGAAGCTGAACCAGCTGGGGCCAAGGGTTGTGATTCCATATTGATCTGGGCTGTTGCTAAACTGCATTTTTCACCTGCTTGCCATCCAAAGCCTCTCCTTTCTCACAGGTGTCTCCTTCCCCTTTAGACTGTGCAGATTCCAAGGGCTGTGCAGCCTGGCAGGAATGTCTCTCCATCTGATTCTGTCCTCACTGACAAGTGACCTGGAAACAAAACTCCACTCCAGGCTTTTCTATGGGGGAACTGAGCTCTGCACTTTCATCTCCATGCCATTGTTTTCCTCTTCCAGCTTCCTTGTTGATGGAGATCTCTGGCTGGTGATAGAATATATGGATGGAGGAACTTTGCGGGACGTTGTCAGACAGACACACATGGCTGAAGGAGAGATGGCAGCTGTCAGTCGGGAGGTGAGGGATCCTGCTTGTCACTCCCATGGCTGGGACATGATGGTCCTTCCAAACAGGGCGTGAGAAAAGGAGTGGCTCCATGCTCAGGGCTTTGTTTCTGAGTTGTTTTCATGAGCTGGAGAAGAAAGAGCCTCTGCAGTGAACAGCCTGCCAGCATCACTGCACTTCTACTCTGTTCTTGTTCTCTCTCCTGCTGTTGTGGTACTCTCTATGTGCTTTGGATTTGATTTGCTGTTCTCAGCTTTGCCTTGAACCGTTTGCCTGGAGCTTGTGTGCACTGCACTCCTGGCCTGTCACAGCAAAGCTGCTGCTGGCAGAATTCTGAGCTGTCCTTTCTGGTGTGATATATTCCAGCCATTGGTTTTTGCCCTTGTGTTTCTTGTTCTCTCTCAGTGTCTGCAGGGCCTGGATTTCCTCCATTCCAACCGGGTGATCCACAGGGATCTGAAGAGCTCCAACATCCTCCTGGGCATGGACGGCTCTGTCAGGCTGGGTGGGTGTTCCTGGCCAGGCACGGCGCTCCCGGGCTGCGGGGCTGGGGCTGCTTCCCAGGGAGGGCCAGAGCCCCACAAGGGCTGCTGGGGGCACTGCCCGGCCCCTGCTGCCAGCTGAGAGCAGCTGCCCCTGCAGAGAGCTCAGGAGAGGAGCAGGGGGCCAGCAGTGCCTTTGCTCTGGCCATGGCCCTTCCAGAGGGGCAGCAGTGGGAATCTAAAGCTCCAAGGGAATCAGTAAAAGCCACTGAAGGAAAGCTGAGGGTTTCTTGAAGGGCTCAGTTCCATCTTTCCTTGGCTACAGCCCTGAGGGCTTTTCCAGCTGACTTCACTACTGCATTCTCAGACTGAGCGTGGGGAATCTTTGTGCTTGGTTTCCTCATTGCAGCTGCCTTTGACAGGGTTTGTTTCTGTCCTCAGCTGATTTTGGCCTCTGCGCTCAGCTCAGCCCTGAGCAGGACCAGCGCAGCTCCATGGTGGGCACTGCTCACTGGATGGCCCCAGAAGTTGTGACCAGATCTCCTTATGGCCCCAAGGTGGACATCTGGTCCTTCGGCATTGTGACCATCGAGATGGTGGAAGGAGAACCTCCTTACTTCAGGGAAACGGCGGCCATGGTAAGAGGCAAATTCTCCAGTGCCTGCAGAGGCTGCGAGCACAGGGGGACCCTGCACTGGGAGCAGCAGCTGGAGGTTTCTGCACATGGGAAGGGAATTCCCAGAGGACTTGTGCCTCTACACAGATGAATGTTCTGCAGTCTCCAGCAACAATTTGCTTTGGGCTTTTCGTTGTTGCAGCTCTTCTAGCTGTGAGGATGACCTGGAAATATGAAGCAAGTGCATCAGCTCTAATGTTATCTTGCAAGAAAACCCCACACCATCCCCAAATCCCAGCCCCAAACCCAACAAGATTTCTGCAGGAGTTTCTAAAAGAGGTTTTGCAAGATGATCTCCCCTGATTCTTCTCACTGGGAAACTTGTTGAAAACATGAAGATGATGGTTTAACATCCCCATAGTCTAACATATTTCTTTCCTAGTCCAAGCTACTGTGTCACCAAGCCTGAGCTTTCAGCATCACAAACCTCCTGTTTCTTGCCTGGCAGTTTCTGGGATGGGGCATCAGGAATGCATTTACTTGAGTGTCAGTGGCACTGCAGAGATGCACTTGATGGAAGAGTCCTCTGAAATAACACAGGCAGACCACACTGAATCTGGAAAATGGCCTGTAAAGCTGGTGTCCATATTTGGAGAAGCAAAATGGGCTATTTCTGATGGAGGTTCCTACTAACAAAGCTGGCCAATGAAACTGGCTCTCAAGGCGAGATCATTTGGATGTTGCAGTGGCTGTGGCAGCCCCAGGGTTTGGGTTTTTTGGTTTGCATAGCAAAATGAGCTCTGAGCAGCATCTCTGGCAGGGAGGAAAGTGCCCCTGGCGCTGGGGCTGAGGCCCCGGGGTGGATGTGAGCCCGTGTGGGTGTGAAGGAAGCTGGCAGAGCGCTGAGTTTGCTTTCCCTGCAGGCTCGCGCTCTGATCCGGCAGAACGGGACCCCGCAGCTGCAGGAGCCCCGGCGCCTGTCGGCTCTGCTGCGGGACTTCCTCGAGTGCAGCCTGGAGCCGGACGAGGAGCGGCGCTGGGCTGCCCAGGAGCTGCTGCAGGTGAGAGCCAAGGGCTGCAGGGGAAGCAGCAGCGCCAGGGAGGGGTTTTCTTGTGGGGCCCCCTCCGATAGTCTCCAGTCTCGCTGCGTTCCACGCGCAGAGCGAGCAGAATCCTCGCCCGCTGTGGCCTGGCAGGCTCCTTTCGAGCTCATCTGGACCTGGTGCCCCACAGCGAGCAGGGACATCTTCAAGCAGCTCAGGGGCCTCAGAGCCCTGCCTGACCTGAGCTTGGATGTTTCCAGGCAGGAGGCACCTCCCACATCTCTGGGCACCTCCTGTCAGTGTTTCCCCACTCTCCCGGTTAAAAAATTCTTCCTTAGATCTAATCTGAGCCTGCTTCCCTCGATTTTCAAACCATTTCCCTTTGTCCTGTTGCAACAGAGCCTGTGAGGAACTTGACTCTGGAAAGTAACAGTTCATTTCTTTATTTTTTATCCTTTGGACAGCACCCATTTTTATCATCAGCCAAGCCTCTCTCCAGCCTGACACCTCTGATCACTGCAGCAAAGCAACTGAGGGAGCAGCGGAGGAGATGAAGCACTTGAGAACAGCTTCTTGTTACAGTAGTTAGGACAACTAGTTAGTTATGGTAGTTAGCATTGCTAGTTAGTCATGGTAGTTAGCACTGGTAGTTAGTTAGGGTAGTTAGCATTGCTAGTTAGTTATGGTAGTTAGAGCAGCCTGTTTGTTATGAAAGTTTTATGAATAAAAACGCTCTTAAACCTCAACTCCCTTGACGTGTCCCTTCCCTCTCCTGCTGTGACTCAGCTGCCCGGAGCAATGTGAGGGGAGGGCGGGCCCAGCCTGGCCCAGAGCTGAGCCCCAGCAGAGCCCTGGCAGAGCCCAGAGCAGCCTGGGCACCTGCAGAGTCAGCCTGGAAGGAGGCGCTTGGAGCCTTCTCGGCTGCACCCGGCTCTTGGTTACAAACTGTGTGTGCTGGAAAATGCCACCGGCTCTGCAGGAGGGCAGAAGGGGCCCGGGGAAGGCCCAGGTGCTCCATGCAAGGGAAAAACCTGCCCTGGGTTTGTTATAAATAACTAGGTAGTGCTGGCTTTTGCTATTAGATATTGACTTCTGCAAAATATTCTTAATCACAACAATTTTGATAGAGTACAGTTTGTAATCACTTTTCACTGCTTTTGCTATAGTATAATTTGTCAGTTTTTTGTGGCCAATGCCCTGGCCCCTGTGTAGCTCATATCCTCAGAACATCATTTATGGATGATATTTCAGTTTGAGGACAGTGTGAAAAACATACATTATAGTTTTGGCTTTTGCAAAATATTAAAGTGGATGCCATGTGTTGTGCATTAGAATGTTAACTTTTGCAGAAGTAGCCGTAGTTGTGAAATAAGAACTAATGCTTTTATTTTTGTAACTAACTGACAATAACAACTCAGAGATATTTGTGAAATAGCTAATGTTCATTTAAAGTACTTGTGGAAGTAGCTAAAAGCGTCTGCATGGTCAGATAACATCTAAGGAAGGGATGTGATGAGGCCCCTGCCACTGACCCTTCCACTGTCAATAACTGTCACCTGCTGAAACCACAGAACAGGGGCCCTTGTGAGGCAGTGACACACAACCCTCAAAACAGCAATCCACGATTCCTGCATGTGCTCTAAAAAGGCGAGTTGGGGGTCAAACCAACCTAAAGAATTCCTGGAACATGTAAATGAGTTCAAGGAAATGTTTGAATATATATAATCACTATGAATATGTATTTGAACAATACAATGGAGAAACTAGACAAGAAGAGTTGCTGTGGTTAACCGGTGTGCCTCTGGCCATTGCCAAGCACAAGCGCTGTTACTGATTTGTCCCTTATTATTCCTTATTAAACTTTCAAAAATTCTAAAGAGTGAGGCTCATTTCTCACAAAACCCAAGGTGCTCACCCCTTGTTCTTCCCCCAAAGCCAGGATTTGTCAACCCTAAACTTTGTCTGGACGGAGGAGAAGGAGGCTGCGAGGAAAAGGAAGATGCACTGGTGTGGAGTCTCATGGGAGTCTCAATCTCCCACCCGTGGAGGACTGGTCCCTAATAAGAAGAATAGATTTCAAGGTTATGGTGAAAAGCTTGCTTCTCCTATAGATCTTTGCAAGCACCAGCTGATTTTTGGAAAGTTATGTTATCCCATTGGCCTGTTGGCCTAATTATCCTAGTTCACCCCCTGTTACCCATCTCAGGTTAGTCCCTAGAATGTTCTCCCTCTCTGTCCCTCCATTGGCCCCAGTTTACTGCATTCCTCTGCCCCTGTTTCCCTATTAGCTGTCCCGACCCTTAACCCCTCCTTTGCTCCATTTCCCCCATATCCATTGGACCCTGACCCTCAGCTCCACCCTCACTACCCCATATAAAAACCCCCTGTGCCCTCGGCTTGCACCCTGTCTTTGTGCCTGGACCCTGTTCAGCTCTGTCCCCTGTTCCTGTACCAATAAACCCAGTTTGCTGAGATCATACCCAGACCCATCCTGCCGACTTTGTCAGCTTTATAAAGCAGCCGTGAGCTCCGGGCTCCTGAGTGCCGGACGCTCCAAGGGCCTCGGCAGCGCCAGGATGCTCCAGACTGGGACTGCCAGGCAGGGCAGGAGGAATCACTGCCCCTTTCCCCTCCCTGCTGCTCCATCTCCCAGCCCAGCATCGCTGCAGGACAGCCTCACTGCCAACACCATCCTGCCAGGGATGGACTGGGGGGATCTCCTTCCCCTTCCCTCTGGCATGGAGGCAAATCCCATCTTCTCCTTGTCCACGCTCCTTCTTCTCCTCATTCTGTCCTACATCCATCTATGTTCCTTTCCCATCTCCTTCCTCCCTTGTTCCTTCTTGTTCCTTCCTCTCCTCCTGCCTTTTCCTTTTCCCTTCTCCCTGTCTCTTCCTCTCCTTGTCCTTCCTCCCTCACGCACTGAGCTGTGGACAGAGACCAGGGAGAACAAATCCCTGCCACAGAACCTCGTGGAAGAGGCCATTTGGAACAGCTCCACGGCGCAGGAATCCAATGGGGAGGAAAAGCCCCAGAGATCCCACACGAGGAGGGGCTGCAAACCCAGCCTGGGGAGCTGTGAGGAGGTAAAAGCTTCCCTGTGCCCGGAAGGGTGTGGGGAATGTGAGAAGAGCTTCAGGCAGAGCTCAGCCTATTCCTGGTACCTCCAAAAACGGCGGTGCCAGATGGAGAGATCCATGGAGTAGCAGAGATCCCCCTGCAGATCCATGGGGATGCAGAGATCCCCCTGCAGATCCATGGGGATGCAGAGATCCCCCTGCAGCCCCCGGAGCAGCCACGCTGGAGCACGGGGATGCCTGAGAGGAGGCTGTGACCCCGTGGCCAGAGGGGCCCCGCTGGAGCAGCCTGTCCTGGCAGGACTGACCCCGGGGCACAGTGACCCACGCTGCAGCACTTGGAGGGGGGCTGTGCCCCGTGGGATGGACTCAGCTTGGAGAAGTTCCTGGAGAAGTCTCCGGTGGGAGAGAGCCCAGGGTGCAGCAGGGGAACGACTCCCGTCCCTGAGCAGAGGGAGAAGCCCCGGGGCATGAAGTGAGCACGGCCCCATTCCCTGTCTCCGGCACTGCCGGGGTAGGAGGTGCAGCTGGAAGGAGGGAGGCGTGGGGGAAGGCTGGATTTAAGGCTCTTCACTTACTCCTCATTATCCTGCTCTGAGATTTTGGAGTTTGCTGTCAGAAATCTCTCCCCTCCCCCACTCATCCATAGGGTTGGGGCAGTTTTCCTTTTTTGGGGGAAATCAAAGCGATTCCTTGATGCTCCTAATTAGAGGTAGCAGTAGTGAGGCTCCGGGGCCTCCGCTGAGCCGGAGCCACCGGAGCCGCAGTGCCGGGAAAGCCGCGGCGGGAGGTGCGGAGAAGTTTGTTTGTGTTTTCAGCTCAATCCCGCTCGGGCCCGGGCCCGGGCCCGTTCCAGGGCTGTTCCTCATCTCCGGCTCTGCCCTCACGCAGTCCGGGGGGCCCTGAGAGCGCGGGGCGAGGCTGTGCCGTGTGCAGAGCCCGCCCCTGGCTGCGATTGGGCGACGGTGCCGTCAGTCGTGGTTCTGGCGCGCTGATTGGTGGGATCGGGGCGGGGCAGGGCCCCGGTGGCGGCCTGAGGGCGGCCGTGGCTCGGCAGCGTCGCCATTGGTGGAGCGTCTGTGCGGGCCCGGGAGCGGCGACAGCGGCCGGAGCGCGGTGAGGCGGCGGCGGAGCTGGGAGGCGGCCGCAGCGCAGGTGGGAGGTGCGCTGGGTTGTGCGGGGGCTCGGGGCTCGCTGCGGGCCTCGGGGGCGGCAGGGGGCTCAGGCGGGTTCGTTGTGCCGTGTCCGGCGCGTGTTGCCGCTGGCGTGAGGGCGCTGCGGGAGCGGCTGCCCGCTGTCTCCTTGCGGCCGCTGCCTCGGCAGGAGCCGCTGCCGGAGCAGCGCTGGCTCGGCCCGGTTCCTGTGGCTGGGACAGAGGCGGCTGCCCCGTGCCCGGGGCTCTGCGGGGAAATTCACGTGGCCGGAGGTTTCTGAGCCCCGAGGAGACAGAGGAGTCCTGTACAAGTGACTTTATTGCTGAGCAGAGGGAGAGGCCGTGGGGCATTTGCCGTGCGCTCTCTGCCATCGTTGTAGTTCGCAGCCTCCTTTTTATCTTCATTTTCCCGGCCGATTCTCTCTCTCCCTTTGCCCACTGGCTGAGGTACTTGGAAGGTTCAGACCTCCCGATCCGCCAACTGCATGTCCTCGTTAATGTGCATTCCCACTTTTGTAGAACAGCCGATATTCATGGCTGTGTTAAGTCTTTGTTCTTCTGGAAGTTCAGGAATTTAGCGGGACTTTCTGTGAGCAGCAGTCCGTGTTAATTAGTAACATTTATTGAAGCTGGTGGTTTCGCCCGTTACTTCCTTGTCTACAAGCCCCTGGCCCCTCGCTCAGCTGCTGAATGAGCTGCACTCTCAAGGTGTGGGGCATGGTAAAAAGATGAGAGTTGCTGTAGCACATCAGAGGAGAAACAGCATTCGTTTAACCCATGGTCTGCCAGGGAGCCACAACAGATTGGCAAATAGAGTTTGAGTTATTTCATTTTCCACAAACTCCTCCTTTTTCTGCTAACAGATGATCTGATCCCATCCAATGGTTAAGTGTTGTGTTGCTTATTTCAGTGGATTGATCAGCAGGAAGGTCAGGATTTGGAGCTGTCTGGTTGGTTATTCCGAGGGCAGCTTGTAATCTAATGATGCCATTGAAATGAGAAATAGGTTCTGTGGCTCCTGTTATGAATTAGTTTGGGTTCCCAGGGGCTGGTGCATGGTGTTGTAGGATTTGTTCTGCTGGCCGTTCATCTTTTCTCCATTTTTGGCTGCTCTCTCCAGCCAGGGCTGCATCAATTGATGCTTTTCTCTAATTTAATAATGAAATACTTGGATTCCCGACTGATTTCCCTGAATTTTTGGTAGCAAAAAATCCCCAGTGCTCTTATACACCCTATATAACACAGACAGTGACAGCACATGTTGGAGTGGGCAGAGGGATGATTCCCCCCCTATTTATTTATAGTGAAGTTTTCCCAACATTCTCCATTTGCTGTTTCCCTTTGCAGCTTCACCTGTTTCTGTTGCAGGGTCAGATATCCTCATCCCGGGCTCTGCCTTGAGCTGGGCAAATTCCATTAGGGCAAGCCGGCAGAGCTTGGGCTGAGGGCCAGAGGGAATGAGCCCAATTCCTGCCCCAGGCAAGAGACCCAGGTACATTGTCCAGGCTTTGCCCAGCAGTGTTCATTTGCATTTCTAAAGCTCCTCTGCAGGCTGCCTGGAATGAAGCTTCTCTTCCAGGGCAGCCATCTGGTGAGTCACATGTGGCCCCCAAGAATCTGCTTTTTTAAAAAAAATATTGACTATTTACGAGTTTTAAGTATTACGGTTAAAGCTGTTCAATTTTGCAAAATGCAACATAAAGGCAAACGTGGAAAAACCCAGACCAAAAACTGATTCTCACTCTTCTGTCCCAAATCTACCTGACAATATAAGGTAGGATTATTATAAAAAAGTTTCCCATGTTGTAATTTTCTTACTGAAACTGCAGGGAAAACAAAAACTCTCCAGGAATCCCTTTAGTGTTAGAGAGTCAAGGCATTACTTGGTTCTGGCCAGGATGTGCAACAGAAATCCTTTCTTTCACAAATAGCCCGGCTGTGCAGAGAAACTAATTCCAAAACACGTGAGTTTTACTCTATTTTTCCTAAACTTTATGTAGTCTGAACCAATCTAAATCCATTGGTTTATGTTCATTGCTTCCGAATTGTGTAAGTTTTTAGTATTTGGTTTCCTATTGGACCCGGATTTCTTCCCCTCTGATGTGAATTCGGTCCACACTCCTGGATTTCCTTCTCAGCCTTTTCCAGACCAGGTGTCTCCAGCTGTGCCGGGGGCAGTGTCTGGGGTAGCTGTTGGTTGCTGTTTGCTGCTGGGCGTTGATGTTTTGTTGCTGGTCGTTATCTCTGTGGGTGTCTTTTGGGCTATTCCCAGTCTGTGGAGATGTTGAACTCATCTCCATTGAGTGGTGTAACATCCTTTAAATAAAACCTTTAAAATTCCTTTCCCCAAGGCAAACCCTTGAGTAGAGAAACCATTCTGAGCAGAGAAAGAAGATTTAAAAGAAACGAAATCGGTACATTTTGCAGCAATGCAATCCCAGGCAGCCCAGAGTGGAATTGTGCCGTGGTGCTCCCCAGCAGCTGTGGCAGTGCAGGCCCAGCCAGCGCTGAAGCTGCAGCAGTGGCAGCGAGGCTTGGCCGCAGTGGCTGGAGATGCCAGAGGAGGGTGGCCAGGATTTCCGAGGGTTTGAGCAGAGGATCTGTGGGCAGGCCCAGGGGCTTGGCCCGCTGTGGAGCCCTGGCTGCTGCTGCGTTGCCTTCAGGGCAGGCTCAGTGGGGGCTCCCATGGTCCTGCTGCAGGCGGGAAGTGCAAATCTCCGGGGCTTCAGAGCCCCTGAGGCCAGGCTGAGGGGTCCCCCCGTGTTCAGCTGTGCTGGCGGCTGTTTCTGGCCTCAGGGACACTTGGCATGGGCCCCTTGGCCACCAGTGGTGCTGCTTTGCACTCCTTAGGCAGGAGCCGATGTCCTGGCTGGGTGTTGGCAACAGCAAAGTCCCAGGGCAGGCTCTGTGCCAGCCCAGCTTCCTGGGGGAGAATATACCTTGATCTCTGCTCCAGTGCTTGCTGAAGCAGTCAGAATTGCTTTTGCCCCCCTGTTAGGTGCCATGGCGTCAGCAGAAGATATTGAAGCCTTCCTGTTGAGGGCATTTCAGTGCCAGGCTCTTACAAGCACCCACAGCTCCTTGGGTTGAGCTGAGCATGGGGCGGTGACCTGCGCTTTGTCTGATTCCCCTTCCTTCCCTCCCCTGGAACAGGCTGTTGCTTTTAGACACCACTTGTCCTGGTTGCTTCAGAGTACTTTGGAGAGGCTCCAGATCTGATCCTCCCTATTTCCCTGGGGCTGCCCACACTTCAGGGTTCACTTCAGCATAGGCCTGGCCAGACATTTGACACAGAGGTACAACAGAACTGGCCTCTGTATCACCTTTTATAATATTAATTTGCGTTCCAAATTTAGCGATCAAATCCCTTCCCAGTAAATCATGATAACAGTTAGGAGCAAATAAAACTTCATGCATTTCAAATCCATCTCCCAGATCTACTAATAGTGGTTGAATAAAACCATACATCTTTCCCACTTATGCCATGAATAATCAAAGACATTTTTGGCCTTTTTTCCCTCCCTTAGGTTTAAGATTCAGAGTGGATTGAGAGGCCCCTGTGTCTATCTGAAAATGCCTCCTCTCAATGCAGACCCACCTGAATGTTCTCAAGGGCTCCAGTGTGGAGGGTCCCTGGTGTGATGGGAGCTGTGACAGCCCTGCCAATCCATGTCCATCAAGGGGTGGACTTGCTGGTCCTGAGGGTGCTGCTGTCTGTGCTTGCAGTGTCCTTGTGCCCTGCAGCTGGAGCCCTGATTCCTTGCCAGGGGCTGTTTGGGTGGGCTGTCCCCTGGTGAGGAGGGCAATGCCTCTGCCGGGTGCTTGTGGCCGAGCCCGTGCCCTGGGTGCTGGGGCCCCCTTGGGCCCTGGGGTTGATCCCTCAGGGGCTGTAGGAACTCTGCCCTGGCCTTTGCCTTCAGCTTGGCCTTTTGCTGCTCCCTTCTTGCATTCACCTGCTGGGCCTTTGTGCCCAAGTGCTGCAGGGCCTTCTTCTGCCCCTCCTGCAGCCCCCCTCAGTGCCTGTGGGTGTTTGTCTTGCTTTACAAGACAGGTGTCTGCTTGGGAAGGCAGAAAAAGCCTCTCTTGGAATGGAGAATGCAAACCCCCTCCCTCTTAAGTTTTACAATAATGAAATCAAGGGTCTCTCAGGCAAAGCTATGGGAATAGGAATACCAGTTCTTTACTAGTGTGTAAATAAAGCAAACAAACAACCACAGCTCCGGCAGTGACAACAAACAGAGCCCGGACCCAGTCCCGGCCTTTCGGCTGCGGCGCTTTCCCCTTGGGTGCAGTTCCGGGCACGGCCGGCAGGGGCGCTGGTGGCTCCCGCGGGGCAGGGCCGCGCATCCCTGCCATGGGAACCTCTCTTAACGGAAATAGAGCAATCCCTTCATCTAACTCTTTCACTTTTTTACCTTCTATAGCCTTTCTCCCGTGTTTTGAGAAAGAATTTGGAGAGGGCTGCCTTTTAACTGAGCTCCTAGTGTTTAGATAAGGTGCTTCCTGTAGAGAGAGAGTTTTCCTGAACAGGTGGAGCTGTGGTTACCAAGGGGATGTAACTCGGAGCAGGCCGGGGTCAGGGGAGGATATCCCGCCGAGGCTCGGTGGGAGTGTGGGCAGGGTCTGCTACCGGAATCGCCAGAGGGGGATCTTCCCGTGGAGACCGAGCCGGAGCGTGGGCAGCCCCCACATGGCTTCTGGCGGCTGATCCGGCAGCTCCCGGCAGAGAAAAGGCAGGTGGGAGACCCCGGCAGCAGCAGCGGCGGTGCCCAGCGCAGCTGGCACGGGCAGGGCAGCCGGGGATGGGATGGCTGGGACCCGCCCTCGGTGCGGTCGGCGCGGTGACCTCGGCCCAGGCGGCAGGACAGAGCAACCCCCATCTTCCCCAGCATGGCCGGCAGAGCGGCCGCGGGCCGGGCAGTGGGAGCAGGGCACACAAATTCACCGCCAGCGCCGGGGCAGGTGGAGCTGCCCTGGGCAGTGAGCCCGCACCTGGGATGGA